CTCCTTCCGCCGTCGCCGCTGCCCGAAGAAGAGGAACGCCCGCCGGAGGAGGCGAAGTAGTCCCTGGCGACTTCTCCCGGCCGCTGGCTTCCCCCGGGGAGCAGAGTGAGCGCGGGCCGGGGGTGGGCAGAGCGGGACGCCCGAGCTGTGAGGGTGTGTGGGGAGGAGGACCCAGAGCTGCGGCCCCGGAGCGAATCACTGCAACTCGAAGTCGTGTGCAGCATAGCAAGTTTCAGGAAAGTAGTCCCCTCCTCCCTTCATTTCCCAAATCGGAGGGAGGCGGAGGGATACGCCAGGCACCGAGCTCGGTGTGCGTGCGCGCGCTCCAAACTCTTGGCACGCCGCGAAAGGGGGCGGGGGTGTGAGCTGCACCGGGAGCTGCTGGGGAGGCTGCATTGTTGCGGCAGCGGTCCTCCCAGTCACTCGTTTTGGAATATTTGAACGAAGGAGCTAGAATGACTGTGCCCTAGGAGGACCGGGGAGGCTACTCTGTTCTGCCGCGTGTGTTCTCCTTGCAGAGCAAAGAATGGAACTGGCATGAGTTCATCTTTGGTTGGTGGGGGTTAGAAGAGGGACTGTACAAAGAGAGCTCCGCCTGCTGTCCTCTGCTTGCATCGCTGCAGTGTCCTAGCTGCATGCACAACGGGTGTGTGTGTGTGTGTGTGTGTGTACGCGCGCGTGTGTTAGAGAAAGAGTTGTTTTTAATGCCTCGGATTCTTACTGCTCAAAGGGGTATGCCGTGCAGGGCATTCATCTCCGAGCGCTAGCGTGGCTGTTAATGGAGAACGACTTCCATTGAAGCCCAGGGTAGGCGTGTTACATGAATCTGGCGCAGCCAGAAGCACAGGAAATAACTCCCGCTGCGAGTGAGGTTGCATAACTGCAGCGCAGAAGATGCCGCTGTGGCATCAACTGCTCTGAATGGAGGCGGAACGAGAGTTGAATGGGCAGCTGTCACGTTTGCGTTGTTAGAGGACAACGTATGCATTCGTCTCAAAAGGTTTTTGCACAGAAACCTGCTGGGGTTGCGGGTTTGGAGTATGGGGTCTCCTGAATCCGAGGACTCTAAGCCCCTGGCTCCGCAAATTCTATTATCTCTTCTCTCTCTAGAAAGCCGGCCTCTAGAGGATCCGGCCTGGGGGACTGGGTCCCAAGCGCTCCAGCTTTCCTGACGCATCTCCCTAGGGAATCGGTCTAGCACTGTGCGCACTGTTTTTCTCTTCCTTCTCAAGTTTGTGCGACCCGGTGATGAAGGTTGCTGCTCCTGCCACCTTGAGGGGTAGAACAATTCCTGAGGAAGAAGAAAGTGGGAGAACCTCCCACACGAGTCCGCACTCGCCTTCTGCCATCCGCCTCCGCGAAGTTTCAGGATTGCTGCTCTCAGGAGTGCATGCTCGATTCTGTTAGGAGTGTTTTGAACATAGTAGGTGCTTAATAAATGTGCGATGAACGAATAAAGGAGCTAAACCAGTCAGTCTGCCTCCAAAAAACATCCCGTTGATGTCTGAGGTCTCTTGCAAACTGCCTCCGCAGCAGCATTGCCCTTGCTCAAAGTGAGGACGGGTAACGTTAGTGGTAGGAAGAGGTGAGAGGATCTGGGATCATCAGGCTTTACTTCTGTTACCTCTGAGCCTGAGTTTTGTTTTGTTTTTGTTTTTTATCTTGTTCCTGCTAAGAATCTGTAACTGGGAGTGTTGGGACTGGCCTGCCCTCCTTCCAGCACTACTGCTGACCGCTTCATCTACTCAGATTTGAATCAAGTCAGTTATAATTTCTGTTCTAGACAAGTTACTTTAAACTCAGCCTGCGTACCTAACTCATAGAGTTGCTGTACTGATTAATTTGGTATAAATATACATAAAACACTTAGAACAGATTAAGATCTCAATAATAAGTCCTATGGTTTTGTAAAATCGAGATAATAAATTCCATGACAAGGCAGTAGCAATTGCTCTGAAGGTTGAATATAAAGCATTCAATAGCCTTGATCATTCAATAAGTAACTCAGATTTTTTTCTATGTGCCACTAGGCATATGCCCTGGCCCTTAGTAAGTCATCAATAAATAATAGTTCTCAGAGATATGATTAAGGAAAGTTGAGTCGCTTTGCAAAGCCCCATTTTCTTTGGAAGAAATTTCTGTCTGTTTGAGGTTCAAGTACATCAGGGAAAGTATCAATAGCATGTTTTGCGAGAAGATCGAAAAACCATTTTGGCAGTCATTTGCAAGGTACTGTCTGGCCACTTTCACACACAGTGCTTACCCAAAGGGGCAAGATATAATCAACAGCCTGAATTAATGCTTTTAGATTGTTCCCAATCCCATGACCAAGACAGTCACCAAACAGTTCTTTTTTCAAGTACTGTAAGTCCTCAGTGTTGATGAGTTCTGTGACTTGAAGGCATACAACGTATAACAAAACCAGTTTTACCATGGGCTAATTGATATAAACAAGACTGAATTTCCTAGGTTATAACAAAATGACATTGAATAAAATGATACTATTTGATGACCTGCTGTACACTGCAAGTGATGCTTTATTTTTTGGTTGATCCTCACCCGAGGATATTTTTCCATTAATTTTTTTTAGAGAGAGTGGAAGGAAGGGGGAGAGACAGAGAGAAACATTGATGTGTGAGAGAGACACATCGAACCTGGGACCCTTCAGTCTGGAGGCCGATGCTCTATCCACTGAGTCAAACTGGCTAGGGCAGTGGTCGGCAAACTGCGGCTCTCAAGCCACATGCGGCTCTTTGGCCCCTTGAGTGTGGCTCTTCCACAAAATACCAACTTCTGCGCATGGGCCACGAAGTTTCAATCACACTGTACATGCGCGCCCACATGTGGTATTTTGTGGAAGAGCCACACCCAAGGGGCCAAAGAGCCGCATGTGGCTCGAGAGCCGCAGTTTGCCGACCACTGGGCTAGGGTGTGCAAGTGCTGCTTCAATGCAGACTCCTAGATCCCACTCCAGAGATTGTGATCACAGATCTGTAATGGGACTAACAAATCTGTTTTTTGTTTTTTGTTGTTTGTTTTCAGAAGTAAACCAGGTCCTTCTTAGCCCCTCACAGACTACTCCCCCTTTCCTTGCAGCTACTTGTGTCGTTGCATCTCTGAACACATCTCTAATTTAAACTTCTATAATAACAGAACACAAAAAAGAGTGGCCCAAGGTATATCTTAGGCTAAGTAGATACTGATCAAGGCTAGAGACCTGGTTCAACTATGGAGGATGGATTCAACAAGTCTTGAAAAGCTGCGTGAGAGATACACATAGGCCACAGTTTCACCTTAAGTTCCAACTTCATTCAGGTGGTTGAGCACTAGTCCAGAATGATTCTGTGGCCATATCAGGGTCGGGAAGGCACAGGGCCCTTGCATTCGCTCTGTTGTATTTTCTTAGGAGGTTTTGTGGGAAGGACACTGGCCACAATAGCTGGCTCTTACAGGTGGCGGCTCTCGGTAGTGGTGTCCTGAGCTTAAGAATTAGCCACAGCCACTTAACACTTAACAACCTGTTATAGATGATTCATTATCATTCTAATCTAAAGCATCCATGGGCCGGCCAACAGCACACCTGCCAGGTAATTGTCACTACAGTATAGGAAGTCATTAAAGTTAAGAAAGTACAAGTGGGTTCTGAGTTCCAGGTAGATATCAGACCAGAGTTCACAAGGACAGCCAAGTAGCCTGTCCTCACGGAGGCACTGGCAGCTGGCATGGGCACTCCAAGTCAAGGCTTTCTCCTTCTTTCCAGACCACTTGGCCCACAGTGATCATCTTTCTTATGAACTCAGAATTTTTCTTCTCAAATTCTTTTTATTTTTATTTTCTTTTAATCCTCATCCTAGGATATGTTTATTGGTTTTAGAGAGAGAGAGAGAGGAGGAGGAGGAGGAGGAGGAGGAGGAGGAGGAGGAGGAGGAGGAGAGAAACATCAATTGGCTGCCTCTGAACACTTCCCAACCTGGGATCAAACCCACAACCTAGGTATGTGCCCTGATTGGGAATCAAACCCGAATTGAGCAATCTGGACAAGGCTATCCTCTCAAATTATTTTATTTTTGCCTTTACTGTTTTAAGCCTGTATTAATAATTCTCTTTCCCTCTATTTTTTTTGACCTAATTAACTTTTCATGAGTTTTTGTATCTTTTCCCAGTTATATTTTAAGTGGCTTGAAGGCAGAGGCAGTATTTCATATTTTTTTGGTGTTCTCGTCAGCATGGGTTTTAAGTAATGGAAGCTTTTTCAAAGTGAAATATGATGCCAAAGCGGTGTGCATATGTAAAAATGAAGCAGTATTGACTGACACTGATGGAAATCGGGAGTCCCCTCTGGCCTCCTACTGTGTGTGCCTTGAATACTACCGCAGTTCAGCATTTCACACACACCTTGCCTTGTACTAATAAGCTCTCAGCAGATATTTGTATACTTGAAAAAGCCAAAAGAGGAAACAGCCATGCCAACATTTGAGGTTCTAACAGAATATAAAATACATGTACACATTTCCCTTTCTAAACCGACTCTTAACATTACCCCTTGGCAGATGTTATTAAAATTTTATATTTTAAAACTGTAGTTAATATGTGCCTAGATCAAAGGGGACACTATTTTCATGCTGTACTTTGTTTAATGAATGATTTTTTTTTTCTCCGCATAACCAGTCTCTTGGCTAATGAGCT